AAAATAAATCATATATTTCTTTAAATAGGACATTTATAAATGTATTATATTTATTTTTATCATTTATATTTATTTATATAAATGTTGTCATGTATGCCAAAAATTCATTATTAACCACACTTATAGTTTTTGTGCTAAATGATGAATTATTGTCAAAGTTTCCCTCTCGTTAAGTGCTTTATGACTTCTAAATTTCCACCTTTCCTACTGGGGAAAATGCACTGTAAATCTTTGATAAGGTGTATTAGCTTATTACAATCGCGCCGAGGCAGTGGAATACAGAGAGAAGGAAACTCTCTGGGAATGGGCATCATTAGAGCCAAGCGCTCCCCTGGGCCCCACAAACTTTAAATAATTTGCAAATCAATTAACTGGCAACTCTCAACATAACAAGGATTTCACACCCCAGGGTCAGGGCACATTATCAGCTCTGGAGGATTCATGGCATTTTGGGAGAAAAGTTCATGGTTGGAATCATTAATTCATTTTACAGGACTTTTAGTTATGCATTACTCTGCCCAGCTGTGGAAGCCAGGAGATTAATGACATGTTCCTCGGTAAGTCTATGGCCATATATAGCTAATAAGAGAATGCCTTTTTACCTTGGTTACTGTCTTTACCTTAAGACCAGGGAAGACTGCCAAGTTTATATTATGTATAATTCTTCTGAAAATTACATAAAGCACATCCAGCCATCAAAAGGACGATATATTGAATAAACCTTGGCAGAGGCCACTGCCCCACTCATGACAGCGTGTTGCTGGGATGTTAGGTCACAGCGGGGTGATTGAAGACCACTGAAAATCTCATGCTCCAGATGATCAATGGTTCTCAGATGAAGTCAGACTGGTCTGCTAGACTACACCTGCTGAATGTAGCACAAATAAATAGAGTTTATTTAATGTGAAAAACATATCCCTTACGACCCTGTGTATTGAGAGGCCACACCTGTATGCGTGCAGAAAAATAAGCACCGAGCCAGAATATGATGCTTTTAGCATCACCTCATGAGAACTAATAAGAAAACGAATGGATACCGTGCCCTAAATACTTCAGCGAGGACCTCAACCATTGCAGATGTCTGAAGACCTTAGGACTTCCTTTCATGAGAATAATTAAATTTCCAACAATTAAATCTTATTCTAAATTCCCACTGATTAAATTTTATGTTCTATCGGGCGGAAAGAAGAGAACGAATATTTTTTTCCCCCGATGGGGCTGATGAAATTAAAATGCCGAACCCTATTGAACAACCTCTCTGACAACAATCAAGAAGAGGGTCAGTGAAGAACTGTAGCTGGAGAGAGACTGTTAATAGATGGGAAAATAACCACCCAAAGGTTATTCATTTTCATTAGGGGTCCAGGAGAGCTGTTTATTTAATTTTTTTTACAGAAAATCATTCCTGGAGACACCGGCCCCACAGAGACATCAACAGCGAGACACGGCAAATGCAAAATGAAGGAAGGCTCTGGCAGCTTTATTAGATGAATGGCACACTCTGACAAAGAGTGTATTCTGCCTGTTCAAACAGATGCCATCGCCTCTTCCTCAGGTGTTTCCAAATGACTTCGCACAGGAGTGATTAAACGCCGGGCGCATGCGAGCCGCGCGTTCGCCCAAATTACTTACTGCCTCATTTTGTGATTAATTAAACATGCAGATTAAAGTTGCAAAGAAATTTAGATTAATAGGTGTGTTAGGTCTCATAGGACTGGTAAGCATCAGAGCATTAGAGAAAGAACGTTGGATGGGTTGATTTCTTCTCTCCCTCATATTTAAACAGCGTGAAAACTGTGAAATGGAAAAAAAACACTGGACAAATACAAATTTTTTACACATATTGACAGCTTTAAAATAATGTATCTCTGGCTGAAATCTTGGCCTTCACGCCAGTTGCACTTAAATGCAAAAGCATTTTGCATTAAAATGACTGAAATATGTTTTGAAATAAAAAAATTCCTTTCAGATCGTCAGTTTACATAGTTTAAGTTGCTTGAAACTACTTACTGTTTATTTATTTATTATATATAAGATTTTGGTCCTGACTAACCTTAAATGGCTATGCTTTAAATTACTACAAAACAAATTCTCAATAAAGTTTTCTATACGGAAAAATAAAATGCTGGCTCTGTCGTAAGTGTTCACTCTCACCCACCCACATACACACACTCGCACCGGTCTAAATGCTGACACGACGCCAACCTGATGTACAGTACAAGGCTTACACTGTTACCCTCAGTGCTGGAGCGATGCCAGCGTACAGGCCTGATGTTTACTGTTCTAACTCAAGTGGTCCTTTCACCTTCATTCAGCCTAACAATCAGCGTTTCATTCCCTAAATAGAGACCTGACCCTGTGACATATCAATGTTAATATCTGTGTTCACAAGACCTGGAATGATACAGGCCGCAGCTGTTCTGTAGTGACGGCTGTACGACACAGATCATGCATCTTTATCCTGAATGGCAAGACAAAAACCACAGCGGAAATTTACAAAAACTGACGTTTTAAACATCACAAACACCAAGACAACATCATGCCTGTCAGTCAAGCAGGGGTTAATCTGAGAGTCATCGAGAGTGGTGTCATAATTGTTCCCAGCACAATTTTCCAATAATATTTCAAGCCTCCATTTATGACTCTTCCCTCCAGAGTTAGAAGCTGGGCAGACAAAAGCTGTGATCACTCCCGGCCCCTTTGTTATTTCTCCATTCAGCTCACCTCACCGATCTGCCTCTCTTTCCTCTGACAGCCATTCAGAGCCGACTTAACACGCCGGCGACACGCACTACAACCGCAGCTAAAATAAAAAGTGCCTGGCCCGGTGTAATAGAGCGTATTGATCTGAGCCGAAGACGCTGTTTGACTTGAAATCACGGGGATAAAGCTGTTGCATTAGCGTGCGGCCCTGAACTTTGAGCTGGAATATGCCATTCTCAGTGGCCTAATTATGCAGGGCCAACAGTGGGGCTTTCTGCACACTAATATAACTCTGTCCTGCAACTCATATCGAAGTGACATTTGAAAAAAGATTAATATGAACTCATATTTAAACAGCGTGAAAACTGTGAAATGGAAAAAAAACACTGGACAAATACAAATTTTTTACACATATTGACAGCTTTAAAATAATGTATCTCTGGCTGAAATCTTGGCCTTCACGCCAGTTGCACTTAAATGCAAAAGCATTTTGCATTAAAATGACTGAAATATGTTTTGAAATAAAAAAATTCCTTTCAGATCGTCAGTTTACATAGTTTAAGTTGCTTGAAACTACTTACTGTTTATTTATTTATTATATATAAGATTTTGGTCCTGACTAACCTTAAATGGCTATGCTTTAAATTACTACAAAACAAATTCTCAATAAAGTTTTCTATACGGAAAAATAAAATGCTGGCTCTGTCGTAAGTGTTCACTCTCACCCACCCACATACACACACTCGCACCGGTCTAAATGCTGACACGACGCCAACCTGATGTACAGTACAAGGCTTACACTGTTACCCTCAGTGCTGGAGCGATGCCAGCGTACAGGCCTGATGTTTACTGTTCTAACTCAAGTGGTCCTTTCACCTTCATTCAGCCTAACAATCAGCGTTTCATTCCCTAAATAGAGACCTGACCCTGTGACATATCAATGTTAATATCTGTGTTCACAAGACCTGGAATGATACAGGCCGCAGCTGTTCTGTAGTGACGGCTGTACGACACAGATCATGCATCTTTATCCTGAATGGCAAGACAAAAACCACAGCGGAAATTTACAAAAACTGACGTTTTAAACATCACAAACACCAAGACAACATCATGCCTGTCAGTCAAGCAGGGGTTAATCTGAGAGTCATCGAGAGTGGTGTCATAATTGTTCCCAGCACAATTTTCCAATAATATTTCAAGCCTCCATTTATGACTCTTCCCTCCAGAGTTAGAAGCTGGGCAGACAAAAGCTGTGATCACTCCCGGCCCCTTTGTTATTTCTCCATTCAGCTCACCTCACCGATCTGCCTCTCTTTCCTCTGACAGCCATTCAGAGCCGACTTAACACGCCGGCGACACGCACTACAACCGCAGCTAAAATAAAAAGTGCCTGGCCCGGTGTAATAGAGCGTATTGATCTGAGCCGAAGACGCTGTTTGACTTGAAATCACGGGGATAAAGCTGCTGCATTAGCGTGCGGCCCTGAACTTTGAGCTGGAATATGCCATTCTCAGTGGCCTAATTATGCAGAGCCAACAGTGGGGCTTTCTGCACACTAATATAACTCTGTCCTGCAACTCATATCGAAGTGACATTTGAAAAAAGATTAATATGAACTTAACTTTCAGGAAGCTTGTTTGCTCAACATTACCAGGAGCAACACTTTGCCAGATATGATCTTTATTACTATGCTGGAAAGAGAAAACTCCCATTTAAGACATATTGTGGCAGAAAACTGCAGCCGTATATTGACTGTTTACTAAGACCCTGTCTGTGTTTCTTTAAAAGAGGCTCTTTCTTCATTGCTGTGAATGCTCTTATTGAGGGCAACTGGCAGCCTGAAAGTACCAATAACATAGTTGGTATTAGCATAGAGAATAGATTCACTCTATACGCACCGATGGAAGCGTGTGTTTGGGGGGAATGTGTAGTTAGGTGCTAACAATCAAATCAGTTTTCAAATGACTACGTTATGCCTTTTAAAAGTAATAAAAAGACTATAATCTACATAAAATCATTAATATGTGGCATTTTACATCTTTTTCAAGCAATTTTAGTTCTAGGAAAGTGACGCAGAACAAAACAACACACTCATCATTGTAATCATTTGTGTAAGGCCACCCTTTCCTGTGTTGATGAAGCATGTACAGTGGTTTCATGAGTTAAAAATCATAACAAACAGACATAAAGGGGTAAGACAGCAGCAATCATGGGGGAAAAAACGGTGTTAATGGAGCAGTGATACACAAGTGATGTTGGACAAGATGCATAAACCAAAATATACAGTTTGTACTTACATAAACAGAAAGACTTTATCCCCAGCTCCCAAAGATCACTGGTGAGTTGATTTTGAATTCATGAAAATTACCTACAATAGAAAAAAAAATAAATGCGTTTAAGTTTACATGGCTTCTTTAAATATGCGTACATATCAGTGTTCGGCAAAACTCAGAATTGGCTTCCTTTTAATGTAAACTTATTTACTGTCATTTTTAAATCAATTTAATGCATCCTTGCAGAATAAAAGCATTTATTTATTAAAAAAAGAGTAAAAACGAGGCAGAAGAACAGAAAATGCTGAGAGAGGATGTCAGAGGAGCGAAGTGAAATGAGGTTGTTGGCAGGCGGTCAGAGTCCCAGCAGATGAAGTTAAACAGTTGTAGCGCCGCACAACCTCCAGTTACTCTGCTCTCTCCCTGAGGGACTCAATCCTAGACAATGTTTAGAGTCCACTTCTCTAATACCTCATTAATCTGTCCCTGCACTGTTTGATTCAACTAATAAATGGCTTTCATACAAAGCACTTGTTTTCTCTAATACCTCTCTCTGCAGAGCACTAATGATTTATTTAGTTACACGCACTGCTAGTTCTAGCAGGTCTTCTGAGGTCCTCCAGCAACGGCGGCACCACCAAGGAAACACAAACAAACAGACGGTGCACCAAAACCACCAACAACACCCAATTTCACCATTATGTGTAGCATTACACCTCCCCTGCATGTGACGGAAGACGTAGATGAGGAAAGAGAGAGAGAAAGAGTCCTGCATAAACCTCACGGATGTTCATTTCTCTACATTATTCTGTTTTTCACAACAAGCAGGAATCTCATTACCAGCTGATTTATACAATTAGCCTGCCTCTGCATCACCAATTAAACAAGGACACAGGGGTTTGAGGTCACAGCTAATTGATCCGGCTGCAATTTGCGCCATCTCTGCTAGCACAGAAATCTGCCCTCCCGTGCAAGCGTCGAATATCTAAGTCAAACGCATAGACCAAGTAAATGGCTGTGTGGTAGGGTGGGTTAATAGAATAAACTGAGAGATCTTTGGTCTCCAATGGATCTGAATGTGGCAACCTTGAGGCTGAATGTGACAATGGGAGAAAAGAGGCAGGAGGTCTGACCCTCGTGTGAATGGAAAGCTGTTGTCATCTTAATAGCACCTCTGAGCTGATAGTCTATTCCACGTTCTCAAAGGACCATGCCACAGGCCTGACTGCCTCCTAGTTCACACTGCACACACACACACACACACACACACAGTGTGTATTTGTGTGTACACGCTCACATACATCTCTCACGGAGTTAGTGCCAGCTCTCTTTCGTGCCTCACAAACACAAAAACCCTTAACAGCGGTGGTAATTCTATAAACTCTTTTCTCTTTGTGAGCCATACAACATCGGACTAATACCTGTTACGCTTTAATAAATACAGGGATGTTTTAATTGCAGAGGGCAAAAAATACAAAGAATTTTTAAATTATAATTTGATGCTAAACGATGAAAGTAACAAGCTTGTGAAAAAGAAAATGGTGCAATTTTATATTCATGCTTTATTTAAGCTAATCATTTGTTTGGATGAAAAAAAGCCCTTGTGATTGAGAATAAGATGACAATGATATTGCAATGCAATAGTAAAATCTGCAATATATAAAAGACTGTGGCAGTCCACTGTAGTGTTAAGCAGAGTTGGATTAAACAGCACTTCACTGCCGTTTCTAAATGGGTGATCATGAATTCATTAAAAAGAGTTCCAATCAGCACCAGCCTGTTTTTATTAGTCACCCAACAGTTTTATTACTGATTCATTGTGTCCGCAATTACCACTATGGCTTTCTCACATGTTGAGCTCTGTTTTTTTCTCTCTTCTTGACAATGACTGCAGTGATGAAGTAGCTGTGGTTGTACAAATGGGAGCTGAAATAAAGAGAGATGAAGAAAGGAAGAACTGTTCGAGTAGCCGAGCGTCTTGGCAAATCACTAGACGAGAAGCTAAAGCCCATTAAACCCCATGAGGACAGACTAGGGGGCACCCAAAAATTAATGATAGGTTTTCCTGCGAAACAACCTTTAGTCACTGCATCGGATAAAGAATTGAGCTGTTTAAATGAAAACAGTGCTGAATATTTCAGAGAGGTTAAGTGGGGTGCTTAAAGCTCGTGTTGGTGAGGCCAATCCATCGACCATGACAGTGACTCCAGCTAGACCCTCCAACAAACACACTAGCACAAATTGACTCCAAGAGCACGAGCCAATGGATACACACGCATAACATGACGTAAGAGTAACGGATGCTCCAAAAACCCTCCATTCCCTTCTTTCGATCATTCACAAGGTAATAAAACAAGAGTGGGAATGTTACCTTTGCCTTAGCCAGTGATATACGTTATTTACAATTTACACAAGAAGAATAATTCGGAATCAAAAGAAAAGTCCTTTCACAAATCCAATGAGCCTTCAAATTCCAGGCATGTGTTCATCTACGGTAGGTTCAGCTGATTTAATCAATCCTCTGCATAACAGCGCTGTGTCTTTGACCGTCATATGACAAGGGTTGGGAATCAGTGACTAACCTCACATTAGCAGCCTTGCTCTTGCACAGCAGATGCAGGCAGCTTGTTTTAAATATATTTGCAAAAGTGGGAGAAGTACAGTAGCGTGCTTTATATAATACGCTGTAAATGTGCACCGATAAGAGACCTTTAAGAGGCTGAACTCTAAGGCAAAGTGGTTCACATGGGTCAAATATAGACGAAATCCTTCATCTTTCTGAGCGTGGACATGCTGCACTCTCCTAAGGAGGGAACATTTTCATTTGCATCAACTTTGCCTTAGCTTTCTTCTGATCCAGCAACCTGCAAAAAATAAAATCACTTTAAATGTCCTATTTCCCCCAGTCCAGAACATGTTAAGAGGGGATTTAGGGGAAGCAGTTATTGGGACAAAAGAGGCAATATCCCCCATCAGCAGGACGGTCTCTTACCTGGTGGAGGACAGGTTATCTCTGTACTAACAGCAGGACCACTGATGGGAGAAGAGGTGGGGGTGGGTGAAAATAAGGCAGAACAGAGCCGATAGACGGGCCACTCACACCCAGCAGTGGGCGGAAGAGCAAAAGAGGTAAAGTGGTGTTTTTGTCAGATCCAATATTCCTCCTGACAAAAATCAAGTAGTGCGCGCACACAGCTGACAGATCTGCAGGTGTAAAAGCACGGAACCAGATATTAAGTACAGATGTAAGGGCTGTGAATTGAGAGTATCCTTTCAATTCCAATTCAATTCCTGAATTTTAATTAAATTTGAGCTGACGTGGCAAACAGAATGCAGAATTGCATTTTAAATTTAAATAAAGTACAGTAGTAAAATTAAAAAAGGAACTGAAATTCAAAGAAATTCATGTAACTAAGTTTTAACTTGACAAAAGTTAAAAATTATATTTTTTTGAAAAAAAAAAAAACATTTAAAAGGTTTTTAGAGAAAAGAATAGATAAGAAGATAGATACAGTAGATAAATATGAAATAGCACCTATAGAAATTCTGTTTAACAATACTTAATATTTAATATTATTAATTATATTGGTATCACTTTATTTTAAGGTCCAATTCTCACTATTAACTAGTTGCTTACTAGCATGCATATTAATAGCATATTGGCTGTTTATTAGTATTTATAGGCACATATTAATGCCTTATTATGTACAGTGTTGGGCAGTAACGCATTACTTAGTAACGTGTTACTGTAATTTGATTACTTGTTTTAGTAATGGAGTAATTTAATGCGTTATAATTTTCAAAATAGTAATTAGAGTATAGTTTCAAGCCGAGGTCTCTATACGTTACTGCCAGTTACATCTGTCAGTTACATTGCTGACAGAATGCATTGTTTTATAATCTAGAGATTGTAAAAATGATGTAGCACACACACTGTCGAGTCAAGTGCCAGTGGATTAGAGACCTGCTCCCGCGAGACCCGACGCAACAGAGGCGGCGCGGGAGAAGATGGGCGAGTGCGGGTGCGAGCGGGTAGACACACGTGTGTGTGTGTGAGGGATGCGGGAGAATAAAATGATTCACGGGACTCCCGCACAATAGAAATATCTAAACATAAAATATCTAAAACAAATAAATTGTTATTCATCTATTGCACAAAAGCAACATGAACTAATATAAATATAAACGATTAAGCCGCGTTACATTGCTGACAGAATGCAGTGTTTTATAATCTAGAGATTGTAAAAAGGATGTAGCACACGCACTGTCAGTGGATTAGAGACCTGCTCCCGCGAGACCCGACGCAACAGAGTGCGGCGCTGGACAAGATGGGTGAGTGCTGATGCGGGCGGTAGACACTCGTGTGTGTGCGGGATGCAGGAGAATAAAATTATTCATGGGACTCCCACAAAACAGAAATATCTAAACATAAAATATCTAAAACTCCCACGGCATCAACAGTATGTGAGGGGCGTAACATTTCCTTCTCACGCTTGAGGTATTCGGCCAATCACAACGCATTGGATAGCTGGCCAATCACAGCACACCTCGCTTTTTCAGACCGATGAGCTTTGTAAAAATCAATGCGTTTCAAAAAGGCGGGGCATAGAGGAGAAACAATAATGTACAGTATGTGGAAAATAATGTGTTTTTTGAACTTTAAACCGCATAAACACATTTCATTACACCAAATACACAAAATAATGTTCTTTTTAGCAGCATCATATGACCCCTTTAACAGATGCAAGCGTATGCATAGTTTCTATTTAGGCTACGTGTTCGCTGCGTTGAGCAATGCAGTGCTGAAATTTGCGTGCTCACGAATCCTCTCATTATAACACACGAATTGTAGACATTATGAGAGATTCATTATGCATATATTTATAGTGTTATAACAGAGATTTGTGAGATTGCGATGAACTGAGATGTCTTTTAGAGATTATAAATGCAGCGCTCTTTGCTGGCATTCTGCCATGCCAAACCATGCACGCAGCAGCCACTTGCTTTAGTTAAAAATAACTGAATGTTGATACTTTAATAACAAATATTTATCGGGAGCGTGTACGCTGGGATTTCATCAATTTCATGGAGAAAA